CGTGGCTGGCGAGTGCAGGCCCACCGGACACTGTCACCTCTGCAACCTTGTCTCCCTGGGAGTTACAACGGTGCATGGAGGGCAACTCCCACTAGCCCAGCTTATGGCTTATATTGACATCAAATTGGTCAATTCCTTTTTGCCTAGCGGCTGAGTTTATTAGTGACGATACATATTACTGGGGAGCTCCTACCTCCGCACCTCTCACCACCATGGTGGGGGCTCTTCACTCGGGACAAGCCCATTGCCTCTGGCCATGTCTCAGACGGTGTGGGCTCTGGGAGCCAAGGGAGGGACTCAGGACCCCCAAGGGGCAGGCGTGGGATTCCCCTGGGGGTGGGGCGTCCTCTGATGTGCCCAGGACACAGCACTCACCCTGCGGCCCTCCTGCATGATTCCCTCTGGAGTTCAGTCAAATCCCCTGTCCACCTCCACTGACGCCCACTCAGGTCCCAGCAGCAGGCTTGGTGCTGTTCCCTTTAATGGGCTGTGGGACCAGTTTCCTTGGCTGCAAGAGGGAGCCTCGTCCACAGGCACCGTGGGGGGGGCGGCCCCTGTGGCGGGGCTCACCACATCACCTCCTGGCGGACGCGCACTTGCTTGCTTGCTTGTTTATCTTGCTGTCCAGGGTCTCGGGCTGTAATGGTAGAAGCTTTTGTAACTTTGAGAATTTTATTTCTCATGAACATGCCCAGGACCGTAGGATTCTGCCCGTGCCTCGCCCTCCAGCTTGCCAAGCTGTCAGAACCTGTGTCCTTGGCCTTCAGCACTGGAGGCGGGTCCTGGGCTTGCTGGTCAGGCCCTGACTGTTCATTGAGGGAGAGACAGGGGAGACCTGGGAAGGGTCGTCCACTTCTGTCAGGACTCACCTCTGGGAGAGAAACTTGTGCCTCAGAGCCACGGGGGGAATGAAATCTTCCCCGTTTGCCCCCTTGCTAGTCTCCACTCCTGCACATTTCTCTGTGTCTCTCCACTGCTGGGTGGCTGGAGTTGAGGGCCCTGCATCCACTGGCAGCAAGAGCTCCCTGCTATTCTCTCCGGGAAACTGCATTCAAGGATACTGGTCAGGTGGCCTGGGCTGGCTCCCCTGCGATGGGTTCTGTCCCCTGCCAGCCCCAGACCCTCTTTGGAAATGCCCACCACACTCAGAATCACCCAGGGCCTGCAGTCAGACCAGCCCATCTGCTTTGCTCTGGAACTGGCTGGAGCCTGGGTCCACCTCGATGTTTGGGCCACTGTTTAGGAGGCTTGGAGAAGTATTCTGTGGTGTTCGTCCATCCATCTGCTCATTCATTCATTCACTCATCCTCACTGGTGCATCCAAGGGCTGCTCTGGGCCTGCAGCAGGGATGCAGCAGAGATGAGGTGGGGCTGGTCCTGGCCACATGTCGCAGGACGCCTTGTAACAAGAAGGGAGGAGGTGCTAAGGAGACAAAAACCGGTTCGGAGAAGCCCATTCCCAGACAGGGCCTTTCCCCTGGGGCCTGGGGAGGGGTGGATGGACCCCTCCTCTGCATTGCCTGAGGGTCTCCCACCGAGGAGGCAGCAGTGAGCCGTGAAGAGTGAGAGGCTGTGGCCATTCCAGGTGCTGAGGCTGGAGAGGAAGCAGGCCGGATGGTGGGGGGCGTGGGGTTGCTTTGAGGACTGAGAGCTTTCTCCCAGCCCGATGGGAAGTCACTGCAGGCGTTCCCAGGGGTTGACGTGACTGGCCTCTGACTGACAGCGTTCCGGCGGCTTCTGTGTGGAGAATGGATGTGAGGGCCAGGCTGGAGTTGGGGTTCCTCGAGGAGGGGTGAGGGAGGCTGGTGGCCTGCTCCCACTGGTGTCGGAGGGACAGAGAAAAGGGGCAGAACTCGTTTCAAAGGCTGGTAACAGGCATCTTGCTGCAAGACATGACCTCCAGCTGACTTCTTTACCAAGGAGACAGTGAGTGTGAGTTGCTCACCTACTAAGGGCAATAGTGAAGATGGAGAACAGGCCTTTGGCCTTGGAGAACTCGTCAGGAGCAGGCAGACATTGGAGAGCAGCCAGGGTCTAAGTAGCCGCTCCCAGGAGCAAGGCTTCCCGAGGCCACGCAGGACTCACAGTGGACCCAAGTGGTGATGGCCTACCCCTGGCTCCCATGCAGGAGAGACCCCTGAAGGCCAGCGTGGCGGGACTGCTCTTGGCCAGCCCACCTGCCCCCCAGTTGACCCCCACTGTCCACCCAGTCTGTCCTGGCCTCCTTGCCTGCCCCAGGACACTGACTGTCCGGCGCCCCGGAGTCCTTCCTTCTGCGCCACCAGGGGCAGTCCTCAGTCCAGAGTAGAGCGGGCTAAGGGGTGGCTTGATGCTGGTGTCAGGAGCAAACTTGGAGGGAAAGGGCGGAGCCAGCGAGCCCCCTTCTCTCAGGAAAACCGCAAGAGGGAGGGGAGGAGGAAGGACCTACGGACCCCATGCCTCCTGCATGTGGGGGGCTCGAGGCCCAGAGAAGGACGTGCCTGCAGGCGTGGCTGCACGGTCAGGGTCTGTGGCCTGAGCCCCTTCCCTTTGTCTTTCTCACAGCTTCCTGCAGCTCAGTAGCCCAGAGCAGATGCTGTATCCTGGGGGCGCAGTAACTCAGCACGCGGCGGGAGGTGCACTTTTGCCACATTTTCACGTGGAGGGAAAACCAATGGGCAGAAGTGTTAGCTCAGCCCGAGGAAGTACTGGTCACATGGGCCTGAGAGGAAATGGCTGGTTCAGGAGGTGAGGTCCTGTCCTGGCAGGTTGTGGGAATGCTGACAAGGAGCCTAGGAGTCACGCCAAGGCAGGGTGGTGTGTGGGCCAGGCCAGGTCTCCCCAGGACACAAGGCCTCTGGGCACCTAAGCTTTTCAACTTTCCTCAGAGCGGGATTCTGTTCCCAGCAGGGCAGCCGCCTTCCTTTCCTGTCATATGAATTTCCTCCTCGGCACATAACTGATGACACTGATCCTGCTGAGCAGTTTACGGAGTGCCTGGGACTGCCCGGGGAGCTGGCAGGTCAGCGAGGTGCATGGGGAGCTCTGGACGGCCCACAGCACCCACGCCGTGCTGAGGCTTCCTGGGTCTGTGCTCCGGGAGGGTGGGCAGTGCACCGCGGAGCCTTTGGTTTCCCATTTGATGGCAGCCTTCGCACCACAGTGGGCTCTTCGGTGTCTACCCTGCTTCTCGGGCTGCCTAGTGTCCCCCATAGTGGCTTCAGGGGGCTGTGTCAGATTCCTGCCTATCCAAACGTAGTTCCCAGGGCTTGAATGGGAGCAGAGTGCCCAGGGTGTGTGGCTCATGGGCATCTCTGGGAGACAGGTGCCGAGACCCGTCCCTGCCACATGGGCCGGGCTCCAGGAGGCAGGCAGCATCCAGATGCTCTGACCTGTCCTGCTCTGAGCTCCCCAGGACTGAGGGAGCCCCAGGATGCAGGGCTCCCAAGGCTCACACCAGGCCAGTTCCAGGCTGACCGGGACCCTTGGTCACTCTCCAGCTGCCCTCCCTCCTGACCCGCTGGCCCCATTGGGTTTGTGGGCCAGGTCCCCAGCCTCCTGTGGGCTGAGGAAGGCAGTGGGACGGGGAGGAGCCCCTGCAGTTTTCTCCGTCTGTCCCTTCCCCAGCACACGCGTTCCCTTCGTCACGGGAGCCGTGGCCCCTGTCCGCTTGAGCCCTGGCCTGAGGAGAAAAGCCCGTTGGCACTTTAACTTGTCAGCCCCAAGTGAGTGGCCCACACTGCAGTTCCCCTCAGCACTTTCCACCTCCACTGACCGCTGACCGCTGACCGGAGCAGGGCGCCGTCTTCTGTCCCTCCTCAGCAACGCTGCGGCTCTAGGATAGGATTCAGCCCTTCGCGTCCAGGTGAGCAGTGTCCCTGCCTCCAAGGCTGGTCCAAACACGAGTACCCGGGACGCCGCCCCCTCCTGTGGGGATGTCGCGACTGTCTGGGCACAGGAGGCGAGCGTTCAGAGGGCTTCAGAAGGACACAGGCGAGTGCCCCCCGGGCTGGGGGCACAGCACAGCGTCTGGGGGCTGCGCTGGTCTGAGTCACTGCACTGTGTTTGCTATGAAATCCATCCAGGGGAAATCTTTAGTATGGCACGAGCTCTACAAATAAAGCTTCTTTTTCTTTTCTAAGAGTCTGTTTTTATTTTCAATCTGCCATGAAGTTAGCACTGTGGGACCCAGCCTGACACACGTGCTTGCTGGCCTGTGGGAGGAAACAGGTGTTCAGGAGCAGGCGTGACCTTCCCGCAGGCTTGTGGCGAGGTGGCTCGGAGTCCTGGCCGCCCTGTGGATGAGTGTGTGCGAAGTGTGCCGTCCTCAGCAGCCCAACTCGCTTTCAGCGCCAGATGAGCTCCACTAGGGAGTCACCCGAGTCACTGAATGCAAGAGGATGAAAAAAAACCATTTTGTTCCGTTAACCAACGGTTCCCAAGCTTTGCGTCCCCTGGTGGGAGCCTCTAGAACCCCCCGGCCCTCAGCCCGGCCTCCAGCTGCCCAGGTTTACTCGCAGCCTCGTGGCTTCCAGAGATGCCCGTGAGGCTGGTGCTGAGTAAATATTGACAAAGTAGTCTAAAGAGCAAACACTTTGGCATTTGTAAGGTCCACCAGAAGGTCTTGTATATATTTGTGCAGCAGGAGTGAGTGCTGCATACCAATCGTCCTGACGGGCGCGGACGTCGTCTGCACGGGCTGTGCGCTGGCCGGGCACGGCTGAGGGACCCGGCACAGGCCAGGCCTGGGGCAGCGGGCACAGCCTTCCCTCCCATCTGGAACAAACCAGGCCCCATCTCTTGGCAGGATGCATATGCTAAGCTTTAGGAGGCCTGCTTTTCCAGAAGGAAAAAAGCCACAAAATCTCATTTTAAATTTATTTCAATTGGTGTACTTTCTTTTTACTTTGTAAACATTTTATTGATGTTTTTGTCCTTATAGTTATTAAAGACTGAGCCTCAAAAACATAATGAGTGAAAAGTGCTTGCTTAATTTAAATTGTGAACCTGTGTGTTAGGGAATGCACTGGGGGTAGGGAAGCGCAGGGCAGGCTAACTGACAGGCAGGAGCCGCTGTCCTGAGGCTGGTCCGAGCAGCCTATTGCGTTGGGAGCGAGTGCCGCCTCCAGAGTGTGCTTCACTAACTTCAAATTCCGTTTTAATCTCAAGCTGTTGCCCCGGAGAAGAGTAAGGTGGCAAATTATTTGAAGAGCAGGTATTCTTTGTGCTTCAAAGAAACACCGTATTGTAAGTGTTTAATTTTGTAAACAAACGCGCCCATGGGCCTTGCTGCCGTCTCCCAGCCGGGAGCTGAGGAAGTGTGCCAGGTAGGACCAGCACCACTAACGCTCTCTCTTCTCTCTCTCCTCCCGGCTTCTCCTTCTCTTGCACCCGCCCCGTCTTCCCGCCCGTCTCCACGGCAGCCTATGTCTCCGACGAGCTAAAGGCTGCTGCCCTGGTGGAGGAAGAGCTAGACCCAGAGGAGAGCAGGGCGGATGGGGAGCCCTCGGCCAAGTACGCCTGCCCGGAGAAGGAGCCCAGCAAGGCCTGCGCCAGCTACCAGGACTCGCCGGCCGTGGAGTTCTCCAGCCACGACCTGGACAGCGAGTCGCACATCAGTGAGGCCAGTGACCGCATGGCCGACTTTGAAAGCGGCTCCGTCAAGAATGAGGAGGAGACCAAGGAGGGGGCGGGGGCGCCGGAGGACGCGCCCGTGCCGGACAGCCTGGAGCAGATGAAGGCCGTGTACAACAACTTCCTGTCCAACTCCTACTGGTCCAACCTCAGCCTCAACCTGCACCCGCCGCCCTCGGAGCGGCCCCCCGGCAGCAGCAGCAGCAGCAGCAGCAGCAGCAGCTGCGGCAGCGGCAGCTTTGACTGGCACCAGAGCGCCGTGGCCAAGACGCTGCAGCAGGCGGCGCAGAGCCGCGCCCTGCCCGAGCCCAGCCTCTTCAGCACGGTGCAGCTGTACCGGCAGAGCAGCAAGCTCTACGGCTCCATCTTCACGGGCGCCAGCAAGTTCCGCTGCCGGGACTGCAGCGCCGCCTACGACACGCTGGTGGAGCTGACGGTGCACATGAACGAGACGGGCCACTACCGCGACGACAACCACGAGGCAGACGGCAGCAACCCCCGGCGCTGGTCCAAGCCGCGCAAACGCTCGCTGCTGGAGATGGAGGGGAAGGAGGACGCCCAGAAGGTGCTCAAGTGCATGTACTGTGGCCACTCGTTTGAGTCCCTGCAGGACCTGAGCGTCCACATGATCAAAACGAAACACTACCAGAAAGTGCCTCTGAAGGAGCCCGTCACGCCTGTTGCGGCCAAAATCATCCCAGCCGCTCGGAAGAAAGCTCCCCTGGAGCTGGAGCTGCCCAGCTCCCCAGACTCCACCGGCGGGACCCCCAAGGCTGCACTGGCGGACGCAGGCGATGGGCTGCAGAAGAGCGCCAGCCCCTACATCACGCCCAACAACCGCTACGGCCACCAGAACGGGGCCAGCTACGCCTGGCACTTTGAGGCCCGCAAGTCCCAGATCCTCAAGTGCATGGAGTGCGGCAGCTCCCATGACTCCCTGCAGGAGCTCACCGCCCACATGATGGTCACCGGCCACTTCATCAAGGTCACGAACTCGGCCATGAAGAAGGGGAAGCCCATCATGGAGACGCCCGTCACGCCTGCCATCACGACCCTGCTTGACGAGAAGGTGCAGTCCGTGCCCCTGGCCGCCACCACCTTCACCTCCCCCTCCCACACTCCGGCAAGCGTCTCCCCCAAGCTGACCGTGGAGGTCAGGAAGGACGCCGACAAGGAGAAAGTGGCCCCCGACGAGAAACCCAAGGAGGAGGAGAAGCCCTGCGGAGAGGAAGAGAAGTATGACGTCTCCTCTAAGTACCACTATTTGACTGAAAATGACCTGGAGGAGAGTCCCAAGGGGGGCCTAGACATCCTGAAGTCCCTCGAGAACACTGTGACGTCCGCCATCAACAAGGCCCAGAACGGCACCCCCAGCTGGGGCGGCTACCCCAGCATCCACGCCGCCTACCAGCTCCCCAACATGATGAAGCTGTCCTTGGGTTCCTCAGGGAAGAGCGTGCCTCTGAAACCCGTGTTTGGCAACAGTGAAATCTTGTCCCCAACAAAGAGCCAGACCCTGGTCTCCCCACCCAGCAGCCAGACCTCGCCCATGCCCAAGACAAACTTCCATGCCATGGAGGAGCTGGTGAAAAAAGTCACCGAGAAAGTGGCCAAGGTCGAGGAGACGATGAAGGAGCCGGAGGGCAAGCTCTCTCCGCCCAAGCGGGCCAGCCCGTCCCCCTGCAGCAGCGACGCCAGTGAGCCCGTCGCGATGGAAGCTCCGGGCGACGGGGGCTCCCGCAGCCAGGACCACAGCCCCAGCCCCCCGCGGGACGGCGGCAAGGAGGGGAGCCCCCTGGCAGAGCCTGTGGAGAACGGCCCGGAGCTGGGCAAGCCCGTGTCCAGCTGCCTGAGCAGCAGCACGGCCATCATCACCGACCACCCGCCCGAGCAGCCCTTCGTGAACCCCCTGAGCGCCCTCCAGTCGGTCATGAACATCCACCTGGGCAAGGCCGCCAAGCCCTCCCTGCCCGCCCTGGACCCCATGAGCATGCTCTTCAAGATGAGCAACAGCCTGGCCGAGAAGGCGGCCGTGGCCACCCCGCCGCCCCTGCCGTCCAAGAAGGCGGACCCCCTGGACCGCTATTTCTACCATGCCAGCAACGACCAGCCCATAGACCTGACGAAGGGGAAGAGTGACAGAGGCTGCTCGCTGGGCTCCGTGCTCTCGTCACCCACGCCCACATCCCCGGCAACCTCCTCGTCCACGGCGACGGCGGCGAAGACGTCTGCCGTGGTGTCGTTCATGTCGAGCTCCCCGCTGCGCGAGAACGCCCTGTCAGACATATCCGACATGCTGAAGAACCTGACAGAGAGCCACGCGTCCAAGTCCTCCACCCCTTCCAGCGTCTCCGAGAAGTCTGACATCGACGGGGCCACCCTGGAGGAGGCCGAGGAGGCGACGCCCGCTCAGAAGAGGAAGGGCCGCCAGTCCAACTGGAACCCCCAGCACCTGCTCATCCTGCAGGCCCAGTTCGCCGCCAGCCTCCGGCAGACCCCGGAGGGCAAGTTCATCATGTCGGACCTGAGCCCCCAGGAGCGCATGCACATCTCCAGGTTCACCGGGCTCTCCATGACCACCATCAGCCACTGGCTGGCCAACGTCAAGTACCAGCTGCGAAGGACAGGGGGGACCAAGTTCCTCAAAAACTTGGACACGGGCCACCCTGTGTTCTTCTGTAACGACTGCGCATCGCAAATCAGGACTCCCTCCACGTACATCAGCCACCTGGAGTCTCACCTGGGTTTCCGGCTCCGGGACTTGTCCAAACTGTCCAGTGAACAGCTTAACAGTCAAATAGCACAAACCAAGTCACCATCAGAAAAGCTGATGACGTCCTCCCCCGAGGAGGACCTGGGCACCTCCTACCAGTGCAAGCTGTGCAACCGGACCTTTGCGAGCAAGCACGCGGTCAAACTTCACCTCAGCAAAACCCACGGGAAGTCCCCGGAGGACCACCTTCTGTACGTGTCTGAGCTGGAGAAGCAGTAGCATTTGCTTCTGAGGGGACACTGGTCTGCTTTGAGGGAGCCGGAGCCGGAGCCGGAGCCGGAGGCCCTGCCTGACGCGCACAGGCTCTCGCCTTCCCGCGGAGCGCCCTCGGGCTGGATTGTTTTGTACGACTGTACAGTGTGGATAGAGGTGCGTAATCAGCTGTTGTTACTGGTAACCATGAAGGTCGAACGCAGTGCTAAGTGTTTGGAACTCCGTGTAAGTGGGATTCAGTGGCGAGCGCCGACGCTCCGAGCTGCATGCATTAACAGACCGTTGAATTAAGCATTTATAGGAGCCTGCGCACCCTCCCCGTGGCTGGAGTGCGCTGGCATTCCTCACCCCTTCATCTTTACCCTCTGAGTACTTTGAAGCACTTTTGCATTCATTTGGTTAAAAAATAAAATAAAATGATAATAATGTATGAAGCTCTGTTTTTTAAACTCCTTACCAGCTTCGTTATAATTAATAATATGAACCTCCGTTTATGCAGGTCTGCAGGGGTATAACACGCCTTGAAATTTAAAAGAATATTATTTTCACATTGAAACATAGATGTATATATTGTATAGATTTCAGACTCTCTTATGAAGAATGTGATTGTGGTTAAATGACCTTTCCTGCATTTATAGCAACGGTGTTTTATGTCCCTGCCATGCTCTGGGCATATGTCGTGCCTGTGTATAGTGTATATTTCTGTTTCCTTTTTTAAGGTCTATGGGTTTTGTTTTTACATGCAAACACTGTAATTATGCAGAGGATACCACAGATAGCATTTATAAAGTATGCAGAAACATTATCTGGAAGCAAAGTCTGACTGTTTGTTCTGCTCTACAGTACATCTGTATTGGCAGAGGCTCCCGTTTAAATTAAGCATATTTATTAGCCCCGTGTCACCATTTGTTCTGAGTGGTCTGAGTGAACGCGGCCGGGCGCGGCCTCCACGGCAGGCAGCTCGTAACTACTTTGCACATTGTTTTTAAAAGTATTTATTAGAAATCAAAGAACGCGCAAAATAAACTCAGTGCTCAAAGGGTTAAGTCTATCTGAAAAGGAAGAAAAAGAGAGGACTTGTACTGTATTTCCTAAACGTTGATAAGCCTTTAAAGTGTTTGCACTGTAACACTTGGCTGAGCCCCGGGATCTGGGACTGACCTCCCCGTCTCCAGCCCTTCGGCTGCCGGGCCGTTGGCTGGGAGCCTTTTTGTCTCAAACGGTAACTTTCTGTTTTCTTGTCCCGATTATTTTCCCAAGATCCCACACTGCAGCTCTGTCTTCAGGCCCTGAAAGGTAACCCGTGGTTACCGCTCTGCAAGTGATCCTGTTCCTCCCCGTTTTTGGCACTTAATTTGCAGGAGTAACTGACAGCTGACACCCTATGAGAACCTGTGTATAAATATCGGCATGTAAACAGCACAGACACTGTACCACCGTGTGCCCTGTTTAGTTGTTGACAACGAACCACCATTATGTGACTCTTCATATAACCCTTTTTCTACGGCAGCATTAAAATCGTCTTTTTGCTATAATTTTGTGTCGCATTCACAATTATGTCTGAAATGTGTTCCGACTAACGAGCGCATTAAAGTGGAATTGTGTGAGGTCTGTTTATGACTGAGGTGGCTCCCGTGTCTGCCAGGTGCTGGCAGTCGGAAGCTGCCCGTAAATCAGGGGAGTCTCAGGGAACTTGGGTGTTTGGAGAGCAGGGAGCACCTCTCAGAGGCGGCGGGGACGGAATTTTCCCGGAGAACGAACATGTTAAAGAAAGGAAGACATTTGCCTGAGGTTAGATTCTCTCTGGGTAAGTGATGCTGTAAAATAGGGTAGCAGAGCCTCAGCCACACCTGGTGACTCCAATGGGATGGGTCTGGTCTCCCTGCTGGATGTGAGAGGTCTGGGCCCCGAGCCCTGCGGGAGGCAGACGGGAAGCGAGGCCTTTGGAAGCCTCTGTGCAGGGCGGCTCCTGCCTGTTGACGTGAGATTTTCAAGTAGCAGGAAACAGCCAAGAGGGGCAGGTGGAGTCTGGGTCCAGGGCCTCTTCTCCTGTGCTGAAGCACCCACAGGTGACGAGGCGCAGGATGGCACGGGTGGGGGGCTGAACCCACACATGGAGGAGGGGGAGAGCGTTATATGATAATCACACGCTTTTATTAGTCCTGGCAAATCATGCCAACAAAACGCTGGGACTGTCATGTAAAATTTAAAATACCTTTATTACTGTATTCAAGTCGCTCTTGCAGTTACGCGAATCATAGCTCCCAACCTAGAATTATACAAATGAGAGATGTATTCCAGCCATGTGATGCATAAAACACCTCACCTTAAAAATACTCTCTTATTAAAAATTTAAATTAAGCCCTTTCAGAGATGTTTGGCAACACGCCCACGGTTTCCATTCATCCCCACCCCTTTTTGTCAAGATGAGTCCAAAATCGGTCTGCTCTAGTCTTGTCGGCAGTCATCTCTCTCTGCGTTTTAGAGAGAAACTCACTGGAGTTTAGAACGGTTTTTGGCAAACAGGGGTTCCGGGCTGGCTGTGCTCACACTTGTGATGCAGACACACACTTGGGCTGTGCTGAGGGTGGGGCAGGGAGGGCTCCCCCTCTGGCCCTGGGCCGGCCCCCTTCCCCATCTGGAGAGGCCGTCCCTCTGAGCCGTCCTTTGCCCCATGAGCCCCTCCCCTCACCTGGGAGGAGCTGTGGGACATGGCACGTCTCCCGGGAACCTGGCTCAGGGGACAGAGACACTCTCCCCCTGTGCCTCCCGCATCCTCTCTTCCTGGAGCCCAGATTTCTACTCTTGAATTTTTCACAGGTTAAATATAGATTTGGTTTATTAGAATCCAAAGTCCTGAGTCTAACAGATTAAACTGACAACACTTCCGTCACCATCAGGGCCCATGTGGCTTGAAGGGAGTTGGGATTTGTGCTGCTGGTGGAACCTCCATCTACAGTTTGGGAGAAGAACCTGACACTCTGCCCGTCTCCTCCTCATTACCCCAACCCCAGGATTAACTTCAGGACTTTTCCTCTTGGGTGTAGAAGGGAGCATTTCCAGTCGAGGTAGGTGGCACATGGTGTCGCTCACTCGGCATCTGGGCTCAGAGCCAGGAGGGGACTGCTTGTATTCATGGGGCCCAGAAATTAATTTTACCCGGAGAGGAAGCAGTGCCTGGGCAAGTGAAGGCCCTTGTCAGGAGTACAAACCTAACTGGGCACAATGACAGTCCCCCAAGCCACACATCATAGGGAGGGGACAGGCAGGGCCTCAGCCCACCTGCAGATGCAGGGTCACTTAGTCCAGAAGTCACAGAACCCTGTCCTGGCTGGAGAGTGGCCACCGCCCAAACAGCCTCCCCGCAGAGCCAGGCAGGCCCGCGGCTCCCGCGGCGAATCAGGACGCACCAGGCTGCTCCAGGCCCACGCAGATGTGGCTCCCTCCCCCACGGCGATGGCAACAGAGGATGTGAGTGGGAAGGACTGTAGCATCCAAGTGGGTCTTTAACCGGGTCCAGGGAGGGGGAGGGGCGGTGCCGAGCGAGGCCAGTTTAATCACAGGTGTGCAGGTGACCCCAGCCTCACCCCGCCCAAGCCCAGGCTTGCCGCAGTCCTACTGTATATCTTCCAGCCATCACACTTACACAGTATCTTAAAATAACATTTGTGATAAATGTGCAATTTAACTAATTTATGGTGCTCTGATGTGCTCAGGGCTACATGCAAGATGAAAACCTTAAATGGAGCTTGAACAGCTCACTTCACAACAAGAAATCAATATGCCACATCTCAGCTCCTCTCCGCAGTCAACATGCAGCAAAAACACCAGTGATGCAGCCTCAGCTTCAAGGCGGCGAGATTCTGTCATTAACCAGAGCCTGGCGTGCGGCTGCTGTGATGAGGACCCAGGGCTCCCTGGCACTCTGTTCCATTTTCATTCCGCAAAAGGAAAAACACTGATGGCCACCAAGGCGGTGCTGTGCTCAGGTGCAGGGTCGTTCCCGGAAGCCCCAGCGAGTTCCGGGCCGTGGGCTCTGCGAGCTGAGCAGGACTTAAAGTTCCAACTGCTGCGGCTCAGCGCCCACCCCGACGGCCACCTGTGTGACCAAACACTTACAAAGAAGACAGGCCTGCAACCTGCCTGGCCCAGGGAGAGCTGGGCTCCATGAGAGCAGAACCCAGGAGCTAGGAGCCCAAGTGGCAAGACACCAGCGCCCGGCAGCCGGCAGCCTGAACAGAGCCCGTGCGAGAACTTCGTCTCTGAGCGGCTAAGTCATTTATAGGAAAATCAAGTGATATTTTTTCAGATTTCCTGCGTAGATCTTTTGAAATCGGAAAATTGCAGTTGCCTTGTGTTCTGTTGATTCTTTAGCACAAAAAATAACATGCTTTGTAGTATAGGAAGCAATCAGAAAAACAAAACACAAATCCCAACACCACTCTTTAATGAAAACACTTTAACTGTAAAATAATAGCTGTTATCCTATTAGCTAATGGAGAGGTTACCACTTCTACTCCACCAGAGTTACTCTCTTGGTAACAGAAACACGAGCCTTCTCCTCAGGGATTTATTAGTGAGCATGTGTGGTACTTGGCAAAAGGAAACCTAGAAGTGGCCTTCCCGGGGATCCCAAGCCCCCCACGCCGCTCAGCCTGAAGCCTGCCTCGGACACAGGGTAAGGTGCTGCGCTGGGCACCAGGCCACTCCGGCTGCCCGCCTTGCAGACCTGCTACCCTCAGCTCCGGGAACTATCTCCTTGGGAAAGGCTTTAGCTCTGTCTCTTAGAGAGCTCTGGGAAGAAAGCTCCTCTCTGGGAATCCTGGCCTTCCCGAGTGCCGTGTGGCTGCTCTGTCTCAGTGAGGGCTGGACGCCCAGGGTCAGTGGGAGCGGTGATCAAACACCAGCTTTGGTCTCCAGGGGGGCACTACCCTTCTGTGTACTCCACCAAAGTTCCCAGGGCAGAGACAAGCTGTTGGACTCAGGGCACCGCTCTTCTATCCGTGAGGATTTGCCTGGAGGCCACCCCCAGGAGGAATTTCAAGGCAAGCAGCCCCCATAGTGGGTGGGCTGTGAGGGTGTCAAACGCATCCCAAAGCACCTCTGATTTGAGACCACATGCCGTGCTCAGCCAACACAGTGGATTTGCCAAATTGTTGGCCTATGGCCTGACAGTCTGTGAGGTCCGGACCCTCCTGGACAGCAGGTGGTGACTCAGGAGAGGCTTCAGTCAAAGTCAGCTGCTGCTTGAGGCTCCACATTTTGGGGTCAGCACCCTATCCCAGGTCCAAGGAACCAGGTGTTTTCAAAACTGAATTCTAATGATAGAAGATCAGAGGAGCTGCTTTCTGCCACATTTGTTTAATGTCTCCGATGAAGATACTCTAGTAAATCGCTGCTGAGGAGGGGGATAGGCAGGGAGCCCTCTTCCCAGAGATTGACAGCCCTAGTCAGCTGCTGGGCACCCAGGTGCCCTGGGCTCACTGTCTAACCCAGGCTGTCCTGTACAGTAGCCACCAGCCACATCTGCGTACTCAAATTCAAATAAAATAAAATAAAATAAAATAAAACTTCAGTTCCTCAGCTGTAAGGGCCACATTTCAAGTGTGGGCATTTCAACTGCGGGCATCAGCCTCCCCGAGTCAGAGCTCCTGCCTTCACGACGAGGCCGGGCCAGTCGACAGGTGCTCTAAGAAGCCTTAGTTTGCCGATATGGGCACAGGCAACATTCTCTGTGCTCGAAGCCAAGGACACATAATTAACCTTGAGCATAAAATTATAAACAGAAGTGCAGCAAGCCTCAGGGCATGAAGTTGCTGATCATTGCCCCCGCTAGGGGTATGACCTGGGCTGCAAACTCCAGAGCCCAGAGGTCCTGTAGATGTGGCCGTGCCCTTGCTCGGCCCTTAGCGGTGAATCAGTCCCCGTGCTGCTCCCTTTGCCCAAGTGGACTCGAACCCTTCCCTGGGACTGGGAGGCTCAGACGTGGCTTGTGGCTGGCGTGGCTCCTCGCCCCCACACGCGGGGCCCTTGTGTCCCATGCTCACACAGGCCTTCAGACCCCGCCAGGCCTCCTCTCCAACCCTGCAGTCCCAGGCAGAGCTGGGGGTGGGGATGCCCATCCTTCTCTTTCTTTAAAAATTAAAATGTATAAATAGGACTTTGGAAATGACTTTTTAAATTTGGAGGGTTAAGTTTTCAAAATTATTGCATCTCAACATTTCACTTCCATTATTTTTTTTCCACAGCAGGATTCAGGGACACATTTACGACCATCATAATCGTGAGTTAGAGATCTCCCAGGCCAAGTGAAATGGAATTACGAGAAACTGAAATCTGTTTTAATTGGAGCATTTATGGAAAAAAGAAGTCAGAGTGGCTGCTTTTTCCTTTAGATGACTCTCCAGCTCAAGGCTGTACCTGTGTCCGAAACCAGGGCTGGGTGAGTGTGGGCCAAGGCAGAGCAGGGAGAGTGGCGGGAAAGAGGGGTGTCAGGAAGGAGTCATTTTCTCAGCTTAAGAAATGGAGGTGCGGT